CTGAACATGTGAGTAACGACGAAGTTTTTAGCGAAAATAAACGTCTAAGGCAGTCGAGAACTTTCAGAGGGAAATTAACAGGAGATAACTGATAACTGGCATCCATTAAACGTGGCACATGGAACTAGAACAGTCTACCCCAGTGAGCGAAATAAAGGGTTCAGTTCGACATTCCAACCACCCGAAGAAGGCCCGAGTGTACAATGGCCGAAAAGTTGTAATAAATATGGCGACAAAGATGAGGACAATAGTACGAGTAATGTAAATGGATATTTATATTTAGGAAATTTGGCCTAGAAAGTTTGACACTCACAGGACATGTAGAAGTCAAGATGGACAGAAGTTAGGGTTAGGGTTAAGGTTAGAAGTCAAGAGGGACAGAGGAAGTCAGCGCTTAAGGTATCTAAGGAGCTTATGTAAATGCTTAACAAGGCAGTGATTAGAAGTGATGACAAAAGATCATTTTTACCTAGAGCAACACAGAATAGGACATTGTGGAGAAACACAATCACCTCCGTTTTGAAGGAACATGGCATATAGAAGAAGAAGAAGAATATATTCTAAATTTGTTTCATCCTGAGGCTGTTATTCTCTTTCCTTATTCTAAATGAAATAATTACTTTAACGCCCCAAAAACAAAAGTGCTCTCTATTACTCAACACAGGGAACCATCCCTGCCCCACCCATATTAGAATGTCTGACGCTCAACTTCTCGAGAGATCTTCTTTGCGACTACTCGGCCTCACATTGACTGATGACCTGAGATGGAACAAATACATTGAGTCAATAGCTTCGTCCAGCGCAAGGAAAGTTTGGCTCCCTGTGCCGCGCCAGGGAATTTTTCTCGCCGGAGTCGATCCTTCAAATCTACAAATCAACCATTCGCCCTTGCATGGAGTATTGCTGCCATATATGGTCTGGAGCCCCTTCTGTTTGTCTCAAGGTCCTTGATAAAATCCAAAGAGGGATATGCAATGTAATTGGCCATGATCTGGCATCTCGTCTGCAGTCGCTCTCTCACAGACGTGCCGTCGCCTCACTCTGTCATTTTTACAAATACTTTCACGGTAACTGCTCCAATGAGCTGCTTTCGCTGGTTCCCAGACTTCATGAATTTAAGCGTTCAACTCGGCTGGCATCTCTCTCACACCCTTTCACTGTCGAAACTGTTAAATGTAACCGTCTCTTCTACTCTAATAGCTTCATGTATCGCACCTCTCGCCTGTAGAACTCCCTCCCCTTTTCATGTTACCCTGATAGCTATAATCTCCGACTATTCAAATGTAATGTCAATCGACGTCTCCAGATGCCCTGATCTATCCCCTAACCTTCTCTTCATCCTTTACTCTATCACTCCTATTTGCTCTAGCTCCAACTCTCTGTAACCCCTTGCGTGCTAGTGGCTTCCCGCCTTGTTTGGGGTGAAACGCTTAAAAAAATGCAATTGCTTTAATTTCTAATCTCATCGCACACCTTGCTTTAACATTTTTGTTTTAGTCCGTATCCTTTTCGCAAACTTTGATGTGTTTGGTTTTTGTATATACCAACTTCGTAAATTTAGTTATGGTGTATATATATATATATATATATATATATATATATATATATATATATATATATATATATCAAGTATATGATTGGTGTATGGAATGAATTCCAATAACCAACAATTACTATTCTTAAAAGAGTGCTCAATACAAAGTAGAGCAGATATAAATATTTATTTATTTAAAAAAAATTTATTACATAAATATGTTATAAAATAACTACAAAAATAGCCATTTGTTTTAACACCCTCAGTGTCTTATCAAGTGATGATGCTGAATGTAAAATAAATGGTTTTAATTTGAAACTTTTAAGACCATTTATTTTACATTTCAACATCATCACTTGATAAGACACCGGGGGTGTTGAAACAAAATGGTTATTTTTGTAAAGATTTTGTAACATATTTATGTTATAAATTTTTTTTTAAATAAATATATATATAACGTCATCCACAGACAGACTGTTTCGCAGCTCATCAGTGTGGCTAGACATCCGGCTGCCTCAAGATAGGATCGAAACCCAACTGAATTGGTGTCAGTCGGAGATTCTAACCATTAAGCCGTCGGCGCACGGTAGGGATGAAAGTGGATTTTTAGCGTATTTATTTTTTAGAAACACGCCCAGTGACCGACAGTGACTCCATTCGCATCTGCGAAGAGTCTTGCTATATAGCTATAATAGTCACTGTTTACCAACCCACACCTCGTCCCCAGAGAGCTCAACTGAAATTGATAATTCAGGAGCCAATATATATATATATATATATATATATATATATATATATATATATATATATATATATATATATATATATATATATATACAGTAGCTTGGTAAATTTCACCGTTCTATTTATATCTTTCCAGTCTCTCTTCCTGGAATTGTGTTGATGTCGTCTGAGACCTTTTTTTCTATTTGTAATAGTAATAAGGAAATCATTCTTTTATTCCTCAGGTGTGTTTTCTCTAACTGTGGAAGTCGCTGAATGTTTTTATCAGTTTTATTGTTTTCTGCTTGTTCGCATAGGCTTCTTATTGAGTTGTGTGATTTTTCTCTTCATATATGACGTTCTTGATTACCGACATATTCGTTTCTAGCCAGCAATTATTGATCTGAAGAAATCTCAGCTCAAGATGCTTGGTTATCAAATGTGTGTTTTGTACGATAAAAATCAGCTTTCTCATTACATGTTTCTGGTAGGCGATACCTGGAGATAATAAGCAAAGATTCACTTTTATGAATTACAATGGAGAACAGACTGTATTAGATGTAATACTATCGTGAATCTTTATTAGATAAGGAATTGTTAACATTTTTCGTCGTATTTCTTGCATTATTTTCAGATATATCTTATCGTAGTCACTCAGTTATCTCATAATAAGTCTTTTCTTCTGGTTCGAACTTTTGTAAATGTGTTTATTTCTTTAGTTGTGGTAAACAATTTCTGAACAATTCTGTGAATTCAACAACATTGTGAACACATTTTTTATTATTATTTATATTTTATTTTTTATTAAATCTATATTCTTAATAAACATAATGGGAGAATATATGCGTTCTTCGTAAGTGATATTTTTTCATAATCTTGAATCTATAAATTTAATGAAAAAGACTCGAATGTATATCTGATATTAGTAAGTGAGAATTTATATGTGATAATCTTAAATCTTTAATATTAATGGAAACATTTGACAATATATCCGTTCATAGAATGAGCCAAATAATTATATGGAAACTCATCGAGTATAGGGGAATTATTTTCCAGGCATTTCAGAAGAAAACAGTTCAAACTAGGTACCTCCACTTTTTCGCTAAGATTTTCGATACCTAAAGTTTAAAATGAATTTTTGAAAATGAAAACGCATTCTTAAAGATTTCTTTTTAGTTTTAATTGAAAGCTACAGGATTAAATTGACTATTTCCAGTTGGTAATGTCAAGCATTAAGTATTAATCAAAAAGCATTAATTGTTAAGCATCGAGCATTAAGCATTATACATCAAGCATTAAGTATTAAGCCTCAAGCATCTAGCGGCAATCATTAAGTATTATGCACCAAGCATTACCCATTAAACATCAGACCCATAGCATTAATCATCAAGCATTAAGCATTAAACATTGAGCATCAAAAATTAATCATCATGCATTAAGCATTAAACATTAAGCATTAAACATTAAGCATTAAACATTAAGCATTAAACATTAAGCATTAATTATTAAACATCAAACATTAAACATTAAGCATCAAACATAAAGTATTAAGCATGAAGCATTAAACATTAAGCATCAAGAATTAAGCATTAAGAATTAAACATTAAGTCTCAACCATTAATATTAAGCCTCAAGCATCTACCATCAAGCATCAAGCATTAAACATCAAGCATTAATCATCAAGCATTAAACATTGAGCATCAAACATTAATCATCAAGCATTAAGCATTAAGCATTAAACATTAAGCATTAATTATTAAACATCAAACATTAAACATTAAGCATCAAGAATTAAGCATTAAGCGTCCAACATCAAACTTCAAACATGTTAAGCATCAAACATTAAGCATTAAGTATTATGCATCAAGCATTAAACATTAAACATCAAGAAGTAATCATTAAGCACCCAGAATCACGCATTAAGCATCAAGCATTAAGCATTAAACATTAAGCAACAAGCATTAAGCCTCAAGCATCAAGCAGCAAACATTAAGCATCAAGCATTAAGTATTAAGCATCAAGCATCTAGCATCAAGCCTTAAACATTAAGCATCGAGCATTGAGTATTAAGCCTCATATCTATCATCAAGCATTAAACATTAAGCATCAAGCATTAAGAATTAAGCCTCCAGCATCAAGCAATCAACTTTAAGCATCAAGCATTAAATATTAAGCCCCAAACATCAAGAATTAACCATTCAACATTAAGCATCAAGAATTAAGCATTAAGTAGTATGCATCAAGCATCAAGCATTAGAATTAAGCATCAAGCATTAAGCATCAAGCAAATTAATTATCCCAAGCATTTCTTTGAACTATTTTTTGGAAGTTTTTTTTAATCCGAAAAATTCTATATTTTTTTAATTTTCTGAATTTTTAGACGAAAGTCAGTCAACATTTAACGGAATCTACGACCAACTCCGAAATCATGGGTAGAAACGGAATCTAAAGAGAGAAAAAGAGTGACGGGTGAGAGAGAAAGAGAGAGAGAGAGGGAGCGCGAGAGAGACAGGAACAGAGAGAACGTGAGAGAAAGAAAAAGAAAGTGAGAGAGAGACAGATTGAGTGAGTTTGATAGAGGGGCAGACAGAGAGATTGAGAGAGGGGCAGACAGATCGCGACAAACAGAGAGAGAAATTAGAATGACTGTAAGGCACAAAACAGGGTATCAGAATTTTTACATATTGGTGGTATGATAAATAAATTAAGAGAAGAAAGAAAGAAATCTGAAAAAGAAGGGGTATTAAAGAAAGAAAGATGGGAAAATAAAGAAGGGGCGTGTATATAGTTTGTAAAATGAAAGAAATAAAGAAAGAACCTCTAATGTGTCAGAAAGAAAGAAAGAAAGAAAGAAAGAAAGAAAGAAAGAAAGAAAGAAAGAAAAGACAAATGAAAAAGCACATGTGACAAAATTTGTAAAAAAGAAAAAAAGAATGACAATTCTTCCAATGAAAGCATCTTCAGCGAAGCCGAGAAAGATTATCAAACAGCCCTAAACGATTTTCGGCAACACTCACATACGCATCACCCAGCACAAAAAAATGCCAACATAAACAGAAACATTAAATGATTCAATCAACCGTACAAAAAGGTAAAAACAAACGTAGGAAAAATATTTATAAAATCCATACACAATCTATCGCTCTCCACAAGATATAATCAAAAACACAGTAAAAATCAGCGACAGTTGCACCAAGAACATGACACAAATAATAAAATATCACACCAGAAAACAACCAACAAAGAATGAATGCTTACAGATATATGTAATATACAAACCCACTGTAAGATCAGCAGATAAAGATAAAATATACATAGGAGTAAGTGAAGAACCCTGGAGACAGACAAACTACCCAAACAAAATATACTTTACAAATAGTAAATGTGCCAACCGCATAATACTTTCTTAACACACACAGGGTACGATATATAAATTGTCGTTTAAATTACGCAAAAATTAAAATAACGCATTTCTTATTTTAACAGATAAATTTACCAAAATTGCACAAAAATACCTTGAAATATTAAAAAGTACATTCATTCAATAAAGTCGCCAATTGCTTCAACCACGATACCCAGACAACTTCGGAATCTCCTTCAACTCTTCTGCGCGGTCTCCTTCTTTAAATTATGCTGCCATAATCCCATTGCATTCAGTTCATCTTTGGTGTTACAAAGACTTTTGTTGGCCAATCATTCAACTGCGCCCCACATATAATAATCAGTGGGGTTGCAGTCTGGGGAGTTAGGTAACCGGATGTAAGGGGTGATGTGGTCGCGAAAATTTTCTGACAGCTATGACTGGATTCTCCTGTTTGTGTGGCATGGTATAGATTCCTTTTGCCAGACACAGTGTCTTCCAACAGCCACCGTCTTGACCCAGGGCAGGACTACTTCTTCAAAAAACTAGATGTAGGCCTCCGTGTTGAGTCTGAGGCCCTCACCCACAAATTCGGGAATTCTTTTCTTCAGAACGATCAGAGTGAGTTTTCTGAACTGCCGTGCCTTCGTAATCACCAATAGACTCATCCCTTTTCGAATCCTCTGCACTGCCATCAGATTCACACCCAAACAGCTTGAACTTCCGGCGCAAATACCAAGCAGTACAGCATGCCGATCCCAAATTTATGGCGGAGTGTATTGCGTCATGGTCGTCTTTTTCTCACAGATGGTGTCCAACTGACCCTATCATAATGTGCAGTCGACAAAACCAAACAACACGCATGCGCGAATTAAAAAAAAATAAAATAGCGACAACTTAACCATCGCACTTGTCCGTTTACGAGCTGACTGATATCATATTGCATCAATACTAGTCCAGTCACATTCCTTACCCCTACACTCCAGTTAATGAGTTAAGGCTGACACTTTCTTTGCTTTTCGCTGAATTGAAGTTGGGTTAAATTTAATTTGCCCTTTCTCAAAAGATACATTCCACTAAAAAAAAATTATACTGTACTGAATAAAATATTTAAAGTGGAAATTTGAAAACAATAAATTGAAATAAAATTATGAAAAACATGGCATACACGTTATTAGAGATTTTTAAAAGATATTTTTAAATTTAATGCAAGAATACATTGTATACAGAGTATGTCTCCAGCTCAGATAGGGCTCAGATCCACGTAGCCCGACTAACCACGTTAATTTTATTTAATTGTTTTTTACTTACTTTGTTTTCTTTTCCTTCCTTCTTTTTTCTTTATTATGAACAATATCAACGAAACATATTTCACTCAATATTTTGAGGCACTGAGTAAAACAATTAATTTTGGATCCATCGGAATTCAAGAATGAATTCGACGTACTACGAAAAATATTTTTTTGCTTTGAATTAGATATACTTGTATACTGACTCACTCAGGATAAGTCCGACAAGCCCGACTCCGGAGTCGTCACTGATATATATATATATATATATATATATATATATATATATATATATATATATATATATATATATTTATTTGGATTGAGGAATCGGAGAACCGAGTTCAATTCCAGTCGAATCCATTACATTCACTTACGTGCTAATACCCTTGGGAATCCTCTTCTTCTCTCTCCAGATATGGGTAAATAGAAGGATAGACTGGGTTCTATAGCCTTGAACTTAACAACACTAGAAGGACAACTCTGAATTCAAAACCTGCAGAGGGTCGTTTGGGGACTCTGTATTCGGCCCTTCAAAAAGTGTGGATGGTTCTGCACAAAACCTAAACCACTATAATCAAATCATATGTGCTGTTGTCGGGCTGTCGGTTTCCTAGGAACTGATTGACCCTCATACGTCGTATTCGACGGGAGAGTCAGAGTATATATATATATATATATATATATATATATATATATATATATATATATTTCTGTGTGTGAGTGTCTCAGACGCGACACAGAAATTACTATGTTTCGAAATCGAACCCTTTCAGTTTCGTAACAGTAAATTCTGTGTGTCAATGGAAACATTTAAAGAAAAATAATTATAATATCATGCTCTACTTTGTATCAAGCACTGTTTTTAAAAATAAATACAAAATACTTTTGGATTATAAATCTGACTGTTCTTTCGTATTAATTATATATATATATATATATATATATATATATATATATATATATATATATATATATATATATATAGACACACACATGCGAATAAAAACAAAAAGAAAACTTATTTTAACCAAAGCGTCTCGTCCTCTAAGGGACTTTATCAAAGCAAATTTTATCAGTTTTTTATTAAAATGCTTGCTCTTGTTTATAAATACATGTCACAAAATAAAATCCTTACATTTGCCTTGGTAAATTCCGTCAGAGGAGGAAACACGTAGCCTGAGTTATGCTTTCCCTTTGTCTTTATTCATATTGTCCTTTTACAGATATACTCTATCTGAGTTTTTTTTACATATATACACATATGTAAAGAAGCTATGTGACGGTAGTGGGAAAGTGCCTGAAGTCGATATGCCAGGTCAGAACCAGTAACATTGCAGATTCTTCTTTGGATTTTATCAAGAATCTGTAAATATACATCAGAGGCATCAAGATGTGACAACAATATGTAAAGTAAAGAAAAAGAAAGCCGATATATAAGTACTTTTTTTTTTACTAATAACTGTGGAATCAATTATGATGACGTAGCTTGCAAACAGTTGAAGATCATATTTCTTCGACTTAAATGGGCCTTCAACGCCCGTAAAACTCAATAAGCAAACATCAAGCAAATATATGTCTATTTAAAGCCGAAAATAATGTCGTACATAACCAAACCGTTGCATATACTAAAAAAAAAGTCTCGTAAATTTTTATGGCTTTAAAGAAATAACTTGTACATGTTGTAGGAGTTGGACATATTATCTGTTTGTTGTATTAATAATGTTCATGAGATTAAATAGTAATTTGATTAAAATGTCTGCAGAACATATCTTAATTCAAGTGAAGGAAACTATACAAATGCGTGCTGAGAATATAAAATCTGTCTTTTTGAATGTTTCTTTCAGGAGGTAGGCGAAGTTAACGCTCCAGAAATTCATTTTCTTTATTGCCTAAGAATTACCATACATAACCAAAAAAGTGAATAGAGTGGTTTAACGTTGCTTTTATGGTTTTAAACGTAGACGGTCATGATTCTCCTCGGATAACTTCTCATGATTATTTGCGAATTATCAAGCTTTTTTTTTTCTGAAAGATATTGCCGTAGTTTCCTGTTGTCGTCTTTATAGTTTTGAATTCAAATTTGTTTTTCTCAGAAGCTAGGCGATCATGTCTCTCCACAATTTCCGTCTATTTATTTTCTCTGAATTGCGATGTCGTCTTGAGAAAAACAGTGTTGTGCTTTCCTGTTGCATTTGCAGAAGGTGTGAATAGCTAGGATTTGTTTAGTCGTAGAAACGACTTTATTAATAACGCTTGACAATATACTGAAGATAAATATATAAAATTGTCTGATATATATATATATATATATATATATATATATATATATATATATATATGAAATGGATTAAAGTGTCTGCTTCCGTCCAGTACTCCGGTTTATCAACTGAGCTGTTGCTAGTGACCTCCTATTCTGTCACAGTCTTGTTAGTACGTACCCCGCCACGCCAACAATGCGTCTTTTCCTCGTCTTCCTCTTTATGCCCGCGTCGGAGGCAACTAAAATATTGTGTTTTTTTTTCTCAGAAGATAGGCGATCATGTCTCTCCACAGTTTCCCTCTATTTATTTTCTTTGAATTGCGATGTCGTCTTGAGAAAAACAGTGTTGTGCTTTCCTATTGCATTTGCAGAAGGTGTGAATAGCTAGGATTTGTTTAGTCGTAGAAACGCCTTTAAGTATATTGTGAGACCGGAAACTACCTACACAATAGACTCTTCCTGGCCTATATTAAGTAGGCGACATAGCACTCTAGAGAGGGACAGAGACTGAGACACAGAGAGACAATATTGGACATTAACATATAGTAAGCTCCGCTTACACTATGTCTGTAACCTGTTGTTAATATATCTGTCTTACATCTAATCCGTGTTCCGTGTTTTACTTCTGTGGTCCCAACTTTGGCTCCACATCAAAGTATAAAAAAAGTGAATAAACACAAACGTGTATTTATAAAATATTAACAACTACTTATAAGGCGGGACACTGGCGGTATAAAAAAGAAAAAGTATGAGTCTCTGTCAGAGTAATTAGTTCGTCGAGAGAACGGAAAGCACCGCTCATAAATTACACGTGTAAAATTTTAGTTTAAGTATAAAAAAAAACTCTTACAGATAAATCAACTTATCTATACGATTAGCTTTAGTTCTCTTGCCAAATTTCTCGTCCGGGGAAATGCGTGGAATTTTCCAAATCTGATCTGTCGTTCAGATGGGCCGTTCCTGATCCAACGATGCGCTTGTTTCTCCTCTGTCACTATGTTTAAATGCTGATAACCCTCTGCTTATATA